AGCTGGAAGCTTCCTGCATTTAGCTCACAGATGCATTAACACTGAAGTCTAATTACAGACCACCTAAAAACATACACTGTTCACAGCTTCACAGCTTACAGTCAATAAAAACCATTCACCGCACGTGCAAGGTCAGAACATGAAGGCCAAGAGTCCTAGAATAAATTTGACTCACGTAGGCTTGTGCTGGCTACCACATGCCATTCCTTCACAGCTCAGCAGCTTTCCTGGCTGTCACCAGGACTGCAGCTGAGTTGTATCTTCCAGTGATCTTCAGAGGTATTCACAGCAAGAGCATTTGGCCCTTGCATATTTCAGGTAGCTAAGGGTCAGAAATGAAATCCTCCCCTTTGACATTGTTCTAAAGCCATGAATTAACCTATCACCCCTTCCTCAAGTCATGAGATTAGCTTGAAAGTAATATTGTCATGTGTTTGTTTGCCTCCAGCAAATAAACCAGATTCCCATTTTCAAGCTTTCTCTACAACTACTTATTTGAAAGAAAGAGAAAGCAAGCTAGGATTCTTGTGTGGCTAATGTACATCAAACTGATGCTTTAAGAAAAACAGCAGCCATCATGAGAGTTGGCAACTCTCAAATAGCTGGTTATGGAGGAAAGAATATTAAACAGCTATCATCAATCTATCTAGATCCAGGAAGTGAGCCATGAAATGCTGACAAAGGGGAATATCTGGTGTCACAATGACGGTATATTTATCTTTTAAATGAAGAATAATGGAGTTACACTGAAGAGACTCATTTTAACTTTGCAACAGTAAAGTATCTATCTCATCGCCTTAGGGTGATATCTGAGCACCTCAGGGTAAGAGAATTTATTTTACCAGCTCTTTTAGAGACCACCATTTTACACAGATAGTTACTCCAGCCTCCAAAGAAGCCACAGGAGCAGCACGAACAGAAGAAAGGGAGTGTGGAGACCAACCTTCTAACAGCCCTAGCACAGCCTGCCGTCGCAGCAGCAGGCCAAGTAGTCAGTTCCCTTTTCATCCTCAGCTTCTTTTCTGCCAAATAGGGATAACACCAGATTATCACAAGAATGCTGGGGTTTGGGTTGGTTGGGTTTTTTTTTGAGGATGAAGACATCTTCACTTATTTTGTTTCCCAGCACATTAGGCCTTGTGACTGGGAGCATAAACGGTGTATACATGCACAGACCACCACACAAGGAAAGCACAGCTGTGCACAGGGTCACATACTGGGACAGGAGCGACAACGCTAGGGTAACAGCTAACACCGAGCTGCACTCCTATCAGCCCTGGGGCTGTCCGAGCGCACTCATCCAAACCCAGACTGGGCTGATTTTCTACAGACCACTACCAAAAAAAAACCCCAAACCCAAACAAACAAACTAAAAAACCCCAAAAACCAAAACCACAAGGAAAGGATGACACAGACGCTGAACTGTGATTGAAACAGTAGGTCACAGCTTGAGTTAGAAGAAAAATTGCAAGTGCATTTATAATTAAGGAAGCCAGAGAAACTCAGCATTCCTGTACAGGTACATACGATCACCTGTACCTAAGCTAGCTGCAGATCCCTTGCTAGGATCTCTACCTCCTTTTTCTTCCCCCAACAAGACTGGAGCCCAGCCCGCACAAAAAATATTTTTTCTTGGTTGTTTTAAGCTAGTCATGGATCCATCATACCATCCCCATATCTTTTCTATCTGAGGACTGAATCCTACCAACAAGGACTCACGTTCCCCTTAAGTTCTGATAAACTCACCTGCTTTTTTCCTCACTATCCGCGCCCTGTCCGCTGACATTATGAAGAAAGCGCAAGAGAAAAACCTCAAACCATACTAAGCAAATTCACTGTTTATAGAAAAACTCCTTCTTGGCCTTGTACAGAAGTACTGAAGTCTTACCCCACTCACAAGAGAATGAGTACCTGCTGTGTGGAGACACACCAGCTGGTCCCAATGCACGTTGTCTCCCACCTGCCCCCTAAATAGCACACAGCTGGAGTCAGACCTCCAGACAGCCCAACCTCCTTTTGCTGTAAGGGGCAGCAAGACAGCCCCCTGTCCTCAATTGAATGGGGCATTCAGATGTATACTAGCCAGTTCACACCAGAATATGGTCACTGGGAAAGGAGCTACAGCTGCTGTAGTTTGATGCTACCTCACCCTTTAAGAGGTTCGTGCTTGGGCAGCCATAGGAGCCTTCCAGCACGTCCCCGCAGGTGGCAGAGCATTAGTGTTAGCAACCTGACTAGCAAACAGCTGCCCTTCTCTCTCCTTCAGAAGCTCTGAAAAATGTATTTATCGATTATTTTTACTACTAAGGAGCATAGGGCTTTATCTTAACAGCAGCCAAAAAATGCAGCAGCACGCATTAAATCTGCACTATTAGTTGACCCACCTCAGCTTTGCAGAATGCTCTCTTAGACTGAAACAGCCCAGACCAGGCAGCCAGCCACGCTGAGGCCAAAACACACTCTGGCTGTCAGTATTTTTGCGCTGGGTCAAGCATGCGGATACGTAGTGCGTGGTTCCTCATGCTGCGAGACTGTGGGGCTTTTTTTTCTTTTTGTTGCTCTCTCCAGGGGTGTGCTTGGCAAGGAGGGCGTGAGCGCAGCAACCTCACTCACAACTTCCCAGCAAACTAAGTGGGCTTCAGCCTTCAGTAAAATCAAAGCTCCGGCTTTGCTTCAGCTTATACACGGAGAGGGGGTGCCTATGGAAAGGAATTAGAGCTTGAGCACAGAGCAAAACCAGAGCACGGCGAAACCTCCAAATCCTGAAATCACATGACTGAGCTTTCCTAGCTACACAGCAAGCACGTTGCTGTACCAGAGAACTCACTCCCATCAGAACGGCAGGCTCCTAAGTAATTTAAAGCAATAAAAAAGAGCACGCCATCAAAAAAATATCTAAATTGAAATGAAGCAGCCGGTATTAGAAAACTGTGCTGAGGTTTTAAGAGAGGCAAATAATAAGCTGTAAGGAAGAGAGGCAGTGGCAAGGAAGCCGCTTACCTTGATAACGAAACCCTCTCTGTTGACCTATGTGAGGAAAGAGCCACCAGTAATTTAGACAGGAAAATTCGTACTGTTTTACTCCGGTGGAAAGTGGGATTCAGAAGAAAACCCCGAAATCTTTCAAGGCCGGAATGATTTATTTTCTTCTGTAAAGCCGGAGAAGCAGCAGCTGCCATAACTCTGCTGCAGTCCGCTTCTCAGAGAGCATGAAGAACTCATTTCTGCAAGTTAGTTGTCACTCAGTGGTCAAAATCTTGACCATTAAAATCATTCTTGCCCTGGTAAAAAGCATTCTGGGCCACAGAGGGATCAGAAATAGGCAACAGCAATTGCCGCAGAATGTGTTTTTTCTCTGAGAGCCAGTGTTTGTGTTCTAATGGTGGCTATACGATTCTGTTTGATTCAATCCAGAAGAAAAATATCCACCTTTTCACCTTATCTCATCTCCTGTATCCTAGAGAGAGGCTGATCACGTATTAGCCAAACACCACGGATGCAGGGAACAAGAAGAGTTTAGAGGGATTAGATGCAATGAAGCAAAACACTATTTTCCAGTTTGCGCTTCTATCTCGCAAATGTAAGCATCAGCCCCGCACCTAACGATTAGTAATTACACGGGCACCTCAAAACGTCGTTTGGCATAATGGGGTTTAAAAAGTTTATGGAGACATGTCTATAAGTGATCCGATGGAAACACAACTCACTCTCTGTCTGAGAAACCAGTGACTGGGGAGGAGCAGGGGGAATGACTTTACAAAGCCGTCTTGCTAAAAGACTGTATTTTACTATTTAATCCTCAATTATACACATGACTGCATTGTGGAAAGGTCACCAGACAAAGAAGTTCAGTGAACCGGGCCTGAAGGGAGGGATTGTGCGGTCGGTCTCAGCCTTGCTCTCGCTGAATCCTTCACCTAAAGAGCAGGGACATCTCCTGCCCCAGCGAAGGACGAGCCCGGCGCTCGCACAGCCCGGCGTGGGAATTGGGGTAGATCACTGGGGATAAACGGAAATTGTCGCACCAGAAAACAGACCCCGGGGGAGTAAGCTTAAATCCGCCTGCTGCCTCTCCAAACACTCGCGCAGCGTCTGGGAAACGCGGTCAGCAGCTTGCACCAAGAGCGCACTCGTGACGGCCAAAACCTTGCGTTCCCCCCACAAACCCGAAGCGGGAGGTGGCGACAGCCGGAGAGCGGCACCCTGCCTGGCTCCTCGGCCACGGGAGGTCCTGCCCGCGGCCCCTCCGGCAGCCTGAGGTGACCCCCCCCCGCCC